TTAGGTCAGATCAGCAAACCTGTACCACTGGATAAGTTTCTATCACTTTTCTGTTGAGTTTCAAATAAGTTAATAATTCCCAAGCTAAGTTTCCTTCTGATAGAGAGAGATAACACTCAAGACGGAGTTGACCTTCATTCCTAAGTGCAAGGAGTATGTGCTTTTGGGTGTTCATTTTATTTAATGTATCGCTTCTTGAAATTAATGAAATACATATTGAATAGGATGAGGCAGAAACAGGCCATTATGTCAGTCAAGCATACAAACATGTGTTTCATTGCAAACCAAGTCAAATTCCACTCTTGTTAACATCATTACAAAATAGAAACCACAGTGTGCTTTTTTTTTAAAAGCAGCAAACATTTGTTATCAGGCAAAAAATTATTTTCCTCCTTTACAATTCTGTCTTTTCAAGATAACTTGGGATAGTTGTTCGATAGTAGTGTTGTATGGAACTCTTTGTCAAAAATGTGAAGTTTTTTTTAAAAACTGATGTTTTCTTTATATTAATTAAGATCTATGTGTTGCAGTTTAATATGCTGATAAGCACTAGGCCAAGGGAAATAAATTGTAGTAAAGTAATTTTTACCTGACACAAGTGAAGTATACTATTTTCATTAATTATTTTATTTGACTTTTTGTACAGGAATGGATACAAATTTCTTTACTGCTCTGCCCGTGCCATTGGAATGGCAGATATAACCAGGGGATACTTACACTGGGTTAATGATAGAGGTACTGTGCTTCCCAGAGGACCACTCCTGCTGGCTCCGAGTAGTTTGATTTCAGCACTACACAGGTAGTGAATCTTTTCAGTATTTATATATTTTTATCAATAATGAAGTTGCCATCATATATTTATCATTTTAAATTTAATTGTGCTTCAATCATCACTTAAACTTAAAGATGCAGTCACTTTTAATGTGGGTAATTTTTCCATGTGTTTGCACTTCGTGGGGAAAAAAATAGTTTTCACTTATGGTCATAAGAGACTTTATAACAACAAAATTGCCTGTTTGAGCATTCCTTATTACGTGATGGTGGCAGTGATGGTGTCGTCATTGTTGTCACCAGAATTGTCAAAAGCATAGTTAATAACATATAACATTATTCATGTCAAAAATCAAGTGCATGAGACGATTACAACTTCAGTCACTTTTCTATTTATTTTTTGTAAATTGAGGATAGTATTGCTGAAAAGTCAATAAAAGGAAAGAAAGAAACTGCTTTCCTACCTTTTTAAGTAAAAATGACCGACATGGTACTATATTCATGCAAAGTACCAAAGCTATCATTCAATAACTTTATTAGTCAATGAAGTTATTTAATGATTATGATAATTAGAAATCTATTAGGGAAAATTAGATAAACCTTTATTGAGTCACTAGGAGTGTTTGGTGGTGGTCTGTAATTGATATCAATTGCTGTACATTGAGATTTGGCATCATTAATCCAAATAGAAAAGTTGGTTTTAATAAAATCACAAATTTGACAATGAATGCGGTACATCACAATTCCAAATAATGGGGAAAATCTTGATGAATTGAGTGACTTTCTTTTTACAATGTTCTTAAATTCAAAACTCCAGATCATCTCTCATGTATATTTTTAGGAATTATGTGAGTGCCTAAGGGTCCAAAAACAGTTGGTAGGCTGCTCACCTGCATACACATCTGACTGGAAAAGTGGGTGCTGGAGAAATGCACTATGTCCCTTTGTAGGCCTACTACTCCACTGACTAACATAAATTTAAACACTTTAGCCAGTCACTAATGTAGTCAATGTAGTCTGATGAAGGGTCTAGGCCCGAAACGTCAGCCGCTCTGCTCCTATGATGCTGCTTGGCCTGCTGTGTTCATCCAGCCCTGCACCTTGTTGTCTCGGATTCTCCAGCGTCTGCAGTTCCTACTATCTCTGATTAGATATTATCAGTGTTGAGTTTAAAATAAAAAGATCCATCATGTAGGTTTCTTTAATAAATGATAAAATGATTGACTTATCAGGAAAATGATTTATTTCAAAAAGATGTGAAGCTAATTAACACAGTTTTAAATATGAAAATCTAATTAACCACTTAATGTAAAATTTTCCTTGCCTCTGATCCCGACTCAAAACATGCTGCTCATTTGACTTCTATCAAAATTAGCAGAGCATAATAGAGAGAGTGTTTCCTGTTTAATGAATCTCCTTTTGAATAATGCCTTTGAATTGTAGTGATGGATCATTCTGATTGTCAGAGTATGTATTTTATCCACGTTTATTAGGACTAACCAACATTTTTTTGTAGTAATATATTTCTGTATAATGCCAAAGACTTGTTTCTTCTGTTTTCAGGGAAGTTATTGAGAAGAAACCAGAAGTGTTCAAAATTCATTGCTTGAATGATATCAGGAATCTATTTAATCCACATAGGTGTCCATTTTATGCTGCTTTTGGAAACAGGAGTAATGTAAGTGAAGTGTCTTTTAAAGTAAGAGCTGAATGCACGAGCAAACAATCTTGCGACTAAATACTGTTATAATCCGATTTCTCCCATTTTCTGTGCTCATCTGCCCCTCATATATACCGCTCATCACAGTAAAACTTCTGGAGGCAGGCTGGGCAGGTGTTATCCTTGTGGATTTCTCAGAGGACATTGGTATCCTATGATCAGCCAACAGGAAATGCTTGCAGCCATTGGAAGTGGACAGTGTTGGTTATACGATTTCTTCAGGGCGGAATGTTCATACCATGCTTGCTAAGAATTGATAAACCATCACAATTGAAGCCAGCAAATTCCATGTGTCAGGCAAGTCTGGGGCTTGGATTTGCATGATTTTAACAGTGAAACCAGCACTGTTTTTGCTAACCTGCCTGGCCAGTATGATCCAACAGCTGATTCATGAAAGCTTTTCTTTGTGAATGAGGCTTTATTCAAAAGCTCAAGTCGTTTCTTAAACTGTTTGCTAATTTCAATTTCATTTCAATTGCAGGATGCTTATGCATACAAACAAGTCAGAGTCCAAGAAAGCAGAATTTTCATAGTAAATCCCAAAGGAGAATTAATTCAGGAACAAACCAAGAGCAACAAATCATCGTAAGTAGCCAGCAACACTAATCAAAATACAATCAATTTATTAACTGTATACTTAAACATATTTAAAATTATTTTTTGTAATCATTGCAGACATTCAAAACAAATAATTACTACAGTAGAATGCACAACTGGAATTACACCTGAATGAGTAGATCTGTCGATTACCCTTGAGAAAGATCATGTTTCCAATCCCTATTCCTCGGGCTTTTTGTGACTAGTGGGCACGACAGTTCCTTTATTGGTTGCACCCTCAAAAGGCGAAATGTGTAGTTTTTTATTCTGTTATGGAACTGATACAAATCAATCAACAGTGTGGAACAGCCGATGAGCTTTACTGGTGCAAAATATTTTTTAGGGTTTCTCCTCCCAGTCTTGAAGAAATTCTGATTTTTGTATTGTGTACATTTTCCAGGATTTTGAAGAATTAACATGGGAAAAAATTATTTGATTAGTCCCCTTCTCTCTGTTCTGCCATTCAGTTTAACTCAGTTCGATTATAATCGATCAATACCACAGCTTCATTAACCCACCTTTGTTCTACACATATTGATATTTTTACCCAGTAGAAAGATATTGGTCTCAGTCTTGAAAATCTCAATCCAACAGCCTTTCCACTAGCCTTTTGTGGAAGAAATGAAGTGTTTCCTTGCTTCAGACTTGAATGACCTGAATTTAAGGTTATACTGCCGCCTTCTTGGTTCCCCCGGTAGAAGAAATAGTTTATCTAAATCTGTCTCACTAAATCCCCTTTTCATTTGAAATACCTCAAGTAGATCATACCTATCTGCTAAACTGTGGTTCCAGTGATGATTACAAATATGAATGATATGCTTAAATAGTACTGATGTTGCACTTTAATGCTACAAAGTGCAGGGGTTGCAGGGCTATTTGTAGTCTAATGTTGTCAAAATTACAATAGCATGTTCCTAATTCTGGGTCACCCTTCATGGTTGTATTTAATGTGTAATAGTGGAAAGTAAATTAGAATAAATTGTTCAAGTGTCATTGCCAAAATGGTAGCCATTACTTCAATCTTTTGACTTGTTACTACTGTTTATTGATTGAACTATTGAATGCAACTGTTATTGATTGTTGTAAAAACCTATTTGGTCCTCTGTCTTTTAGGGACAGAAATGTATTGTGCTTACTCAATCAGGCCTAATTGTGACTTTTAATTGCCCTTGAGATGGTCCTAGCAAGCCATTTGGTGCAAGGGCAATTAGCATGCTCAATCCTGTAGATGAGCAGAAAAGAAATGTTTTATATGTCTTAAGGGTGATATTATCACATGTTTTGTATGCCAGTAAAATGATTTGTGAGGATGTTTTGCCTCTATTTCTAAAAATGTTTGTTTTTCCCCACAGGTATCCAAGGTTGGGTGAGTTAGTGGAACATGTATTTCCACTAATAGCACAAGAAAGAAGCTCAGCTTTTCTCTACCCTGAATACAGCCATTTTGCATTTTGGCGGGAGCCACTTTGTGAACTTGATTCAGATGAGCTCAATGAACTTAAATTCAGTAAAGAATAATAAGTCATTGCAAGAACTAGAACTATCAGCAACATCAAGGCATGCTAGTGCCTTCAATTCTGATTTGATCTGCCTTCTGATTTGATCTGCCTTCTGATTTTAATTTCAATGAAGTGGAAAATCTATAACTTATTTAACACTTAAAGTACTCGTTGCAATTATTATCTGAGTGAAATCAAGTGGTGTTTCAGTAGGTACCACTTGTGACAAGTCTTGCATTACTCTTTCCCCATCGAGCTGCATTTATGCAGTTTTGATTGTGTGCTGAAAAATTAAGATGCAAATGAAGATGCATTACAGACTACAAATCACTTGAAAAGCCATTGCACTTATGGCACAGCACTTTCATCTCTGTGGGACAATTCCCATACTTTCTTGTATTTCTGTGATGATGCAGACGACAATCTATTTCCTAATTTATAGATTTCCTGGTTCCCATCAAAACTGGATGTTTGTTGCAATCCCCACACATAATATTGTTTCTGGCATTCACTGCAGTGGGCTGCTCTAATAAAGTGGAAACTTGTAGTAATGCTTGGTTATCTGACAAAGCTGTGCCTGCATGTAGCATCAAGGAAGCTGCTTTATATGGATGAAAGTTGGAAAGGCTGACATAGAAATCGAGCACTGAAAAACTGGGGAGATATTTTGATTGTTTGGCTTGGACTAAACTGAAGCCTGGAAAAGGGGTGAGGTAGACTGTGCAACCAGAGGTCTTATCAAAGAGCGGTAACAAGACTAGAGTTGATAGAGACCTGGCCATAGAAAAGGAGGGGGAAAAAAAGAGTGAGGCAGTTGGACACCTAAGCACTAGACATTTAGATGTAAGACAGATAAAAATGAGAATGAGTACAAGCATCATGATGCCTGACTGCAGACTAGAACTATTTCTATGGTGCAGAAGTTTAGTAGAAAGTAAAGAAAATCTACAGTTGGGGTAGCCTGCTGATTATTTGGTTCCTCTTCGCATGCCGTTCAACAAGGATGTAGTAGTTGTGGAGTTTTAAACAGCAGGGTATAATTGCACGTTGTAAAATACTTTCTTCACTCCTTTTTAACACTATGGTAAGTAGAGCAAAATATGATATATTTCATATAAATTGCATGGAGTACAGGGACTTTGAGAACTCCTGTCACTGTACACTACAATTTTAGATGTGGCATAAACAAAGATCTTCGCTCAGTTTGATGTTCTTCCTTGATTCACCATTTGTAAGATTCAGATTCAACCAGCTGTTTTTTTTTCTTTTGTTGGTTTGGTGTTGTTTGCCGTTACAAATAAAATACTGCATTTACCTGTCCGGAGTTGTTTCAGCAGGGAACAACTTCCATAACAAGTTTGACCCAAGTGCATATAGTATAACATATGTACTGGAAGTAACAGTGAAATTACATGCAAGTAAATTGGTAGTAAAATTTAGCAGAATAAGCCATAAAGAGCTTTATAAGGAGGAAATTTTCAGTATTTTAGATGAACCTTTTTAATGATTTTACTAATCCTTAAATTGTGTGGTATAAATTTGATTATACTGCAAGCCCAGTCCAAGAACTCTTTTGATAAAAATGCTATTAAGTTGTGTAAGGCATGTTGGTAACTTAAGATAATGAGCACAGAATTGCAAAACAAAAACTTGTGAACTTAAATTCTTCAACTAACTAACCTCAGTTACAGGTGATTGCTTTGTATGAACTATGAGATCAAGTGACACGAAAAGCAATTTCATTTTGAAAACAAGAAAAAGTCCTGTTTCTCCTGCTCAAACCATTGTTGGCTTAGTTTGCAACTAATAACTGTGCAACCAGGTACACTATAGTTCCACTCCATTTGGGGCTAGGTTTATGATATTGAGACATCTCCTTGGGGGAGGAGGGAATTGTAGAAAAATCTTTTAACCGTGCAGTTTCATTGTGGAACAGTTATTACACTGCAGACGTTTGAAATTTTCTGTTATTCCACTCTATGGATTTGAAATATTTGGGTTGCATTTTGATCTAAATGCAGGAGTTATGCTGTCATCATTCAGCAAGTACTGATTGGACATTAACAGACCATTTGAAATGTATGATCTTTCTATTGCAAAGAATCATTTTTTTAGTTCATTTTGTATTTTAACTGTGCTGCACATGCTCCTTGTCTGAAATGAGCTTTTAGCTCATTTGTTTTGGTAACTTCCATAGTAATATGTAACTTACATGCTAAGTTATTTAACTTACGCAAGTTATGTGACAAGTTACTTAAATGGTATGTTATATATTACATAGCAGATATTCATTTGATGTAACACACCTGCTGTGGATCAGGGCAAAAGATAGTACAGCGCAGAAAGCACTGCTTGCAAGCAATAGTTTGCCTACTTGGCTGGAAAATACTTGCTTCTTAAACTGTAATGCAAGATAATTTATTAAACTGTCAATTCTATGGGAGTTTTTAATGCAGTTATGAATGTTGATTAAAATAGACACAACCTTAAATAGTGAACATCCTACATGCGCTATGTTAATATTTATGATCCAAATGAAATTTGTTGTTTTATGGTATGTTAAAGCAAGCAATATGCAAATCTGGAAAATCATTTCATAATTAACCTGTAATATGGTAAATGTAGCCAAACTTCCAAATTAGATTTGCTACCTTGACGTTATTATAATTTAAATGAATATGTTTCCAAATGTGATTTGCTACATTGAAGTTGCTATTATTTATATAATTATTAAAGTGAATATGTTTCAAATATTGCTGTTGAAAATTTCTTGGGTATACATAGCATATTTAAAGAAATGAACTTAATAAGTGGTACTGACGTGAATTGTTATTTTCACCGTAAGATGTCAGTGTTTGCATCTCATTCTAACAATATGAATTAACATTGACTTTTAATTGTACTTGCTAAATATTCTGCATCAGCATTTTACTATCAGAGAAAAGTGTGTTTTCTGCTTTTGACAAAAGGTTGATTTCACATTAAAATTCACATTAAAACTGGGCCAAATCCAGTGCAAAAATCTATTCATTCTCTTGAAAATCTCTTGACCTCCTCCTTACAAAAAAACTAATGCATCGAATTTCAATGAAATGTAACAAACTGAGCTTAAAATACAATTCAGGATACGTAAAAATCCGATTAAATCTTTTTTGTAGATATCTTTCCTTCATTTAAAACATTTTTGGTCTGTTGGTCTGTTGTGAGCTGTTGCAAAGTAAATCCATCCCACGCGTAATTCTAACCATATATTTGATTGGTTTGGATCCAATAGTTTTAATTCTATTTTTGGATGAAACACCAGATTCGTCTTGGTGCTTTTAGTTTAACTTTTCCGATCAGTGATCTCCCACTTATTCCCTGATTTCTTCAATTGCAGAAATCAACGAAGAATAGGTAACTATTTTTAAGGTGATTTCAATTACTTTGGGTTTAATTTACAGCTTTTACCTCCCAGTTGAGTGGTGCTTCCTTTGTAGCGTGGCAACTCCCCAAATATCTTTTTGACTCTGGGTAGTTGAAACCAGTCAGTGAATATTTGGCATGTAAAGCAACTGAATATTTGAACTGTGTGGCTGACAGTTCAGTGTTTTTCAGATGTTGTGATGTAAGTCAATGGAAAGGAAATCTGCTGGCAACAAGACATATACAACTTAACCTGTTCTGTTTGGACATGTGCCAGGTATGTTAATACTGGATTACTGTCTTGGCAAAGCATGTAACAGAAAAACAGTGTGTCCGTGAATGCCCTAGGCAAGAACGATATACACGTTTACAGTGGACCTTTCAGTACTAGTCAACAGATGGGATTGTACGTTTGATAGTCATCTTTTAATACAAGAAGCTGTATGTATTTTGTTGCCACCTTTGAGAAAAGGAAGTTGGAATTGATTTTGTTGCTATTGGTTTTGTTGCTAGACTCCGGACTGCTCTGCATTATTGTTCAAAGGAACCTTTCTTTTATAACTGGATAATATTTCTGAATTCATTCCTGACTTCTCTCTGGTTTGGTTACAGGGTTAGTGTCGCATGTTTTCTGTTACTGCCACAGCAGTTACTTTGCAGCAATGCAACATGTGGAACTGCCCCATTAGCATTAGAGTTACCATCTTTACTTAAATGCAGAACCACCAAGGCTGCACCCCAAAGAATCCTACTTGCTTATTTTCATATTCTAATCACAAATGATTTTAACTTTGTTTTTAATCCATAAGTTTTGCATTATTTACATTTACATTTACCCCTGTGCTCTGATGTTCCAAATGTTATAAATCTGAGATTTATAAAATTATGTTTTGGACTGTCTTTAAACTTCAGTTAAAATGAAAGGATGTGAATTCTGCCTGGCAACAAGCCTGACTTAGTCAAGGGACTGACTAAGCAAGGTGCAAAGCACTTGCACCAGCTGTGCTCACACTAAAGGCTTGTTGACTCGAGGCTTTCATGCAGAATTGAGTAAAGAACAGCATTTGGTATGATCAGCAGAGGGATGATATTGCAGGCTGTTCACGAGGAACCAAAGACAGATGTGAGCGGCAGATAATTCAAGTTAAAGAGATGTCTTTTGTGGTCATCTGAAGAATCCCGGAGATCAATGCTGGTTTTGCCGGGGGGAAGAAGAAATATTGGATCAGGCTTTACTGCAAACTAAGGGAAACACCTGGAGACAGTCACTTAAAGTTATTACTCAGTGAAACAAGGAAACATGAACTTATTGGAATCTGGAAGTGACTGTGGACTGCTTGTTGTAAGGACTGCAAATCTGTAGAGGGCGTGATGTGTATTGTGTGTAAAATGGAACATTCCTCTCTCAGTTTTAAAGTTCAGGTCACCTACTAAAAGGAACTAGCATGTAGTCAATAATGCTTTTAGTAAATTGTTAGAATAAATGTTTTAAAATGTGAATCTTATCAAGTCATCCTTTTCAACTATTGATCGGAAGTTTGAATTTCTTTTTAAACTTTACCATTGGCTTAGAGACAGACAACAAATAACTGTTTCTTTGCATTGCATTGCAATGGTAATTCACACCCTTGAGAAGCACACAACTTTTTTGGTTAAATCAGTCATATGTCATGATAAAGCACAGAATGAACGTGTGACCCACCTTGTGTATTATACCAACATGTTTTTATCCATTAAACTAGCAAGTTTCATGCATGAAATTTAAATGCGAAAATAATTTGATTCCATTAGAACACGTACACGTATAATTTCAAACCATATGTTTATTGTAAACATTAAATTAAACAGTAGAAAATGTGTATTTAATTTACAGAAAATAGCACCATTACTTGCTGTTCACAAAGTTTAGTTCCATATGTTCAAAGATGTACACTAATATACAAAACAAGAGGACTTCAAGTTCATACGTTGAACAATTCTTCAATATCAGCTACAAAGTAAGAATTGCAATGTAATGCTAGTATTTATTACTAAACATGATAAACAACTATACTTTTCTCATTTTAATGCATTTTGCGACAAACTGTTTTAAATTACTACAAATATGGCAAGTCGATGATTTATCTTGAACAAGGGATGTCTTTCCCAAAATACCAAATCAGTTGATCAAAGATTTGTCTATTCAAAATCTGCATCTGAAAGCTTTTCTTGTACAAAGCTAATTTCAATTAAATACTCTAATCCACAAAACCATCCTTGACCTTTCACAACTATTCATTTAAATGACATCTTCTGTGTTGATTTAAATTTTTAATCCCTGGCACAAAACTGTGATTGAATTTTATAGATCCATTCGAAAGTTCAAATCTTGGACTTGGCAATTGGTAAAATATAAAGTAAAGACTATATATATTTATCAAATGTTCAGTGTCATTTCATTGTTGAAGCCAACTAAACCAGACGACAAAGGTTAGCAAACTAGGTGTAAGTTTGTAATTCTTCTGCACACAAATGTACAAATGCGCGCACACACCCATACACACTGTCATGCTCTCATTTCTGAATTTGATGAACATTTAGGAGTACTGACCCTAGATAATGCTTTTCATTGCTGTACATTTTTTTGTCTGAATCTCTGTATTTTTCATACTAAAATACAATGATAAAGACACAAGATTTCATGCATTGTTTCATGACAAAATTGGCCAATATTTAGGATGAAGGTCAGTTAACAGATTTTCAAGAGAAGAATTAATTTAAAGTTTACACTTACAAAATAACACTGATTTCTAAATGGATGTTTTATGCTACCTGAGTCAATACTTTTGCTATTATGCATAAAAAACACTCTGGTTTTATTACCTAATATAATGGCTAATTGGCTAATGGTAGCTTACATCCTGATGAACAGATTGACGAGCAGTGATGGTGCTAGTGCAGTACAGATCATCTAACTAATGCACAATATTTGAGCACCAAATATTGAGTGTTTTCCCAACCCTTCCAGTAATCATCTTACATCAGATTGCACTTGATGTTATTCAGTATGGTGCATTTTATTATTTTATGAGGCACTTTCTTTGAGAGAGAAGAAAAATCGTGAGTTTAAATGGGTACTGACTGGGGCATTTCTTTGAAGATGCTACATAAAATCCTTAACCTATTAACCCTTTGAGCACAGAGACTTTAAGCTTTCTAAGTACAAGCGTATTTTTGCATTAACTATATAAAATTGTAAATTTCTGAAAATGTATTACAAAATAGAATATGTACAAAAGCAATGAACGCTTCTTAAACATTGTTCCTAAATTTTTAAAACAGTATTATCAATATTTTTCTATATTTTCCCTGGTTCTCAAAGGGTTAATATAAGCATAATCAAAGGCAATGATCTGAAGCTGTTGTTTTCTGAAGATGTGACCATACTTAATTGAAAAGGCAGCAAACCAAATCTGTGTTTTGCTTAGTGGTGCTAGATTAAAAAATATTTACTATCCACAGACCATTTTGACTAGTGTGGTTCAGTCTGCTAAATGTTTAGATTTGAAATTAATATTTCCAGTTAGTTCACTGTTTGCTCGACAAGAAGCATTTTAAAATCAGATATTGGCCAGTTCCTTCAGTTCTAGCTGCTCTCATAATTTACCTGGGCTTTGTCAACTGTGCATTTGTGAATCATTTAGCAGAACACCACTAAATGTGCAGTGTAGCTCATCTGTTCCTGTGTAAGCTAATTTTCCTGACATGACGACAACACTCACTTCATCACCAGTTTTCAGATTGAGAATTAGGCTGAACACTGCAAGACCACCTCCAGAATGATTCTCAATTTTGTCCATGGCAATTTCTAATACTTCAGTCCTGTACCCTGCTGTGTCCACTTGTGCAACACTTACATTGGATACAGTCAGCACAGCCTCAATGCGTTCATTTCTCTGCGGAGTCAGTATAGCACTAATGAAGTACTGTCCACTGTAGGGAACGGTAAATATACCTGCAAAACAAATAATTCTGGTGAGTGCAATTTTGGACAAAAAAATTTCAAAAGAGAATAAAATACACAGCAACTTACAAAATGCCTTAAATGGCTTTAATTGGACACCATGCCACATATTTCAGCAGGTGACCAAACCTTGAGCAAAGAGATATGTTTCAGGAGCACAAAACAGGAAGTGATTTAGAGATTGGGTGGTGGGGCTAGGGAAATTCCATAATTTGTGCCAAGGCAGTTGAAGACACAGCTGTAATAGGGAAATTACGGATGCATAACACATTTTTACTTCTAACTCTAGAGTGGAAGAACTCCGAAGGCCTGTGGAGAGAAAAATAGAGTTAATGTTTTGAGTACAGCAAGACACTTTTTGAAATGAAAGAGTAATATTGGATTGGAAATATTAACTTTGTTTTTCTCTCAACATGTGCTTTCAGACTCTGAGTTTCTCCAGCATTTTCTACTTTTACTTCAGATCTCCAGTATTTTACATTAGAATCACAGCTGGTAGAGGGCAAGATCACAGAATGACTTGAATGCAAGCATGATGATTTTAAAGTTGTGGCAATGCTGGATCAATTGTCCGTAAACAGGACAGCTCATTACTCAAAAACAGTGCAGTCATCATTCTCGTTCTTGTTTTTTCATTTGAAAAAAGGCATTTGTTAGCAATCAGTTAAGGTCATCAGATGAGTTGTTGAAAGCAAGCTGGTAAAGAACTTCTTGGTACTAAGTATGAAATTACTGATTTAGAAACCCAACTCTTACCCAAATATATATGATGAAACTAACCTAGTCATAACAGTTTCTCTTTTACAAGAATTACATTTTTATTTTTGGAGAAGTTGAAATCCTCCCTTTCCCTTCGCCTTGCAATCACACTTACTATGTCGGAATCTGCTTCAACCAGCTGCTACCAGAGAAACTGAGTTTGAAATTATTTTTATAACTAAAATTTGTCAATAAATATTAACCAACATGGAGTCAATTAGTTAATTTTTGTAGTCTAAATTTTATTAAATTTATCAATCCATGAAAAACAAAAGCCATTTACAATTTACACAGTTCAGAAAAAAAAACTGAGCAGCTTTTTGAATGGCACCATTGTGGATCATCAACATCATACTCTTCAGTACTGATGATTTCATCAGCAATATATTCCACAAATAGTCATTGTCTAGGTGTATTGGATATTTTGTTATTCTTTATGATTAGATCTCCTCAACCCATTCAGATAGGCTTGCAAATGTCAGAGAACATATGCAGTCTTGGGATAAATAATTTGCTGATTTTTATCAAGGAAACCTAAAATCTTATTGAATGCCTTCTCTGATCATTCAGTTATTCTTTTTTTTTTCTTATGCTATCCCAAGGCTTGTTTAGAGAAACATCTAATGGTTGTAAAAGGCTAGCTGGAATTCTGGGAATCACAGTATGATCTAACTTGTGGCAACAACATCATCACCTTTCAGCATGTCCCAGATAAATTTTTTTTTCCTTACGTAATTTTTTGATTGGAAGTTCCAAATTTTCCTTAGTCATATTTTCAACTATTTTACATTCATTTATTATGTTGAATGTGGACAACAACTACTATTTTTGTGTTTGCTGTTTTGAGAGGGTTTTACTCTTGAATATCATCATTAGCTTAAGTACTGCCTGTAAGACGTACACTCAGAACATGGCAAATCTTTTTCCATGGCCAGTTTTCATCACTATTTCTCTGCCCATTGTTTGATTGGCTGGCATGTCACTGTTTATGGGAGTCTTAACCATGTTCCCAATACAGGCCAGTCTATGTTCATTCTTTTGTCTACGTTTGATTTATAAATTGCTGAAATGCTTGAATTTCATTACATTCTGTTGGGAGGCAATGAAATCTTCTGTGACAGAAAAATTGTTTCTCATAATTTTTGCACTTTTATTCCTGGGTATTTGTCTATAGAAGTTGTGTAGAAAACTTCCTTGAATTCTCTAGCTACTGCTTAATAGCTAGAGCTAATTATTAGTCTGCTCTATAATCTCACTGATATCAATTCTGAGATGGGTTGTGTATGTGCCATTCCATCCTCTATACCAGCTTGCCATATTTGAGGGCATGATTGGTAGGATCACAAAGCACACTGGTGGTAGTCTCAATATCTGGTGTTGAAATGTGCAGACGTGAGGAACTAACAGACTTCAGTGTGCGCTAAGCTATGATTCCATTAGTGAGTTTGCACCAGGATGAGCTTGACTTAAGCAGCAAGCAGTTGATATGTTTAATTTTGGGCTTTTTGGTTAAAGGTCAGGGACTGTCCTGTACATTGTGATATATGAAAAATGAACTTTTTGGCCAATACTCCGACTGGAGTCAACTTTTACATGAGATCAACCTATATTTATATATATCCAACTAAATATCTTGTCAATGTATATTTAACAAATCAATCACTTGTCAGGCAATGGAAGTGGTTGCATCACAATTAAGTTGAGTTGTATAATTTTGGTAAAGAAAATTAAGACAATATTTTAGACTAAAGACCACTATAAACAGGAAGACTTGCAGGGAAATGAAGCAATATAGGAATAGTTTTTGGTTACAACAAGATGAAATTAAAATTATTTGAGCTGATAAGGAATGATGATGAAGTACAATTACCTGGAATGCTTGGATTGAAGATAGAGACTATCCAGGAAGAGGGGGTAAATTCACAGAGCTAATGTACAGCAGATGGTTCTCTATTCTCTGCTTCAGGCAATGACTTAAAATTAAACGAAACTCCCCTAATGTGGTTCATCATTACTCACCTGCATGGAGTATCCCCAGTGATTTTAGAAGTTAATGAAGCCAATGTAATTTGAAAAATAACTTGTAGAACTGCATATGTATAATTTACTGTTTTTATTCCGTTTGAGTAGTTTCAGAATTACTCTTCAAAAGAACTATGAACTTGGCTTCCCAAAGGATAAGCAGTTGGTAAACGATATTGGCATCTCTCCATTCCCTGTACTGAGGAGAGCTTATTGAGCTTTCACCGTTCAGCTGGGCAACAACCATGGCTCTTGCTATTTCTTCTGTGTGATCAGTTAATTTAAGTAACACCACATATGTTTTATTGCTGCAAATCTGCAAGTTGAATTAATACAATTATGCACTTCAAAATAAGTGGAGATATCACTGACCTTTAGGAAGTAGCAGGTTGTTATTAAATATGTGGATGGACTAGTTATCAGATCTCATTTAATGTTCAGTTGTGAGCCAGAGAGGGAGGAGCATGTTTTTCATCTGACTGCTGTTCGACTATACTAGGTTATGGACTGATATGACACACAACAGGGTAAATTTTCTAACTTTCGTCCAATTTCTTAATTTACCCTTTTAAAGTAATCTGCTAGATCAGAATAAGAGCATGCTGTACTTTTTCCACGGGCTGGTAACAAGTAGGAAAAATAAGTTATCAGCAAATATAGCATTATATTGTGCTCAGAAATGAGTCATGTACATAATATCTCCAGACAGTATTCTAACCCCATCTGTGCTGGTGGAGGGCTGAACCATGGAAGGTGTGCTATCTTGATCCTTATTTCTAATTGCCTGTTGAGGAGCAACAAATGGCGAAAAGGTGGGAACACATCTCAGTGCTGCAGTGGATTGTGCATGCTATACATCAATCTTAGAAAAGACAAGTTTTATGAATTTCAACAATTTGCTGAGCAGAAATGGTTTCGGCTCTGCAGTCTGCTAACGGTTTTATGCCAAAGACCACAGCATCAATAAAAAAAACTGTAATTGTGTCAAATGATACGATACCTGTGCGGGGCTCATAGTGACTTCCATCATTGATGAGAATTTTGTTGAATCTTACAACACCGTTATCAGCAGGGAAGGGCTTTTCAGTCAGACCCACAGAAAACGTAACATGTTTTGCAAAGGATGGAAATCCTGTAAATAAAACTTATAATCAATGGACACAGAAGAAAAATGCATTGCAATGAAAATAAAAACTTGGAATTGGCTGATTTTACTATTTTAATTGAAAATCCACATGAAAACCTATGACGTAATTTGTGACTAAACATTCACAGCAGTGTTCAATAATGGAAAACAGTCATGCATATTGAATCTATTTCGTGAAAGCAGTCTTGGGATAAATAAAACTTGCTGATTTTTATCAAGGAAAAATAAAACCTGGCCAGCTGCTTACTACCAGTACAGGAAATGTTTGTGATGGAAAGAATCTGTCCAAAGCACTTTCTATGTTGGGAATGTTCAACCAACTGTTTGAATGATTTCAACTTGAATTGTGCCTCTCTTAATCGTAGGTAAATCAATTCTATAACATGAAATGACCCCGAGGCTCCCTGTATTGAGAATCGTGAGATGTGGCTGGAATAAAGAATTAAAACACTGTCCTTTTGAAGTGGACTTGAGCCGTAGACAAACGGTCTGTTTACCTTTTGACCGACCAATGCAGTTAAATTTTGACCGTTCTCGATTTCAGATGGACACAAACATACAGTAGGAATCTGAAGTGAAACTTAGCACATTTAGCAAGGAAAATGTTTGCTGGCTCTCATTATTCACACTAAACTTAAATACATGCACCAAATTCAAAAATTAGAACAAAGTTCAGAAAGGAAATACCTCTGCATTCAATATAGTTCATATATATAGAAGTGTTGCTGTTGCTTTCTCATGCAAAGACCCTCTTGTACAGCTATGTTGATATGACTACAGCATGTGAATAAATTGTGGCTGGGGTTTTTTTTGCTTCTGCACTTGTCAGCCCACAATCTTCCTCCCATTCATTAATGGGGGATAATACTTTGGTCTGGTAATTGCTGAAGCAGAAACCCGTGGCCAGGTGCCATTTTTTAACTAAGAAAACTGGACACTGTGGTAAACTACTGAATATAAAATCCTGCCAGCTGGAAGGGATGCTTTCATTTCGAAGATTTTAGTCGTCTTGACTTCAACAAACACACACACTTCCTGCTTGAACAGATATTTGTTTCTGATCCTAAAAGCCATCCTTTATACCATGTCTTGGAGATGTGTTCGAGAGGATGAGTTAACACACCACATGCATATTTTTGCAGGATGATATTCTTTTCAAAATGGTGCAAAATATACACTGAAGATTTAGCGCTAAAGTAGTTGACTATTTGCATATAGCTAACTGAAGCACAATAGCTGTCATACTAAAATTAGAATAAATATCTGTAAACTTAGGATGTTGGGAATGAATTAATTGTCCTTGATAAAGAAAGGCTGTGTTATTTCTCGGCTTTTGCTATTAGATGAACAACTTTCCTGCTGTGTACTCGTCTATTCTGCAGGTTTTAACAGAATTCAAACATATCATTATGAAAATCTTTGAGTGTAATGCTTTGGCCTAGATCTTTGGTTAGCAACAAGCATTGCTGCTCCTGACCTGATGATACGGCCCATTTGTTTCAGATTCTTCTGATCCCAGTTGGAGGAGAGCTGAGCAGCGCTGAGTCTCCAGCCTAAGTCCAGCCAGCACAGCATAAGGTACGCCCTATGTTTACGGCACTAGCAATCATATTCAGTTGGGGTGGGGAAGTGATTGGAGTGGTTAGTTGTGAAGTTATTCGGCAGTTAAATCATGTGTTAAATACTCTAACATTTTCTTGGTCAATATTTAGGTACGCCCCATGGATCTCACTCAATTGATCATTCTGATTTCAGAGTCAGAAATATTTGTGACAGGTCCCAGGCAGCGAGGATTCTGCTCATCAGAAGTTTAAACTCACCAGGCAATTCCCATGTATGTCTTTGTGTTAGACATGTAGAGTCATACAGCCTCTTTCTGTGTTGTAGTATTCTTTGGCCCAGCATATTTGTGCTGGGCACCAAACACCTAGCCACTCTAATCCCATTTTATGGAATCCCTACAGTGTGGAAACAGGCCCTGTTTCTCAGCACTTGGCTCTAACCTTACATTGCTACGGCTTTTCAAGTATTCTGGAGTGTCCTGACACATATCCCATCCCCAAAAGAATGATTTGGGCCCACAAGAAACAGCAGAGGTAAGGCATTTGAATCATCGAGCCTGAGCTGCCACTCAATAAGAGCATGCTGATCGGATTGTAGTCTTCACTTTCCTAACCCCACTCATCCCCCAAATAACCCTTGAGTCCCTTGTAAATCAAAAATCTGTCTAGCTCAGCTCTGAATGCATTCAAAAGCCCAGCAAAGAAATTCCTCTATATCCCAGTCTTAAATTGCTCTCTGTTTCTAGATTTCCTCATGAGGGACAGGAGGGTACACAATGTGTTTAATTTAAAAGTGTAAAGAGAAAATATTAAACAATTCTCACATGCATCATGCTTTGAAGTAGAAATCATATCAGAGCACTGCATGGAACCAGATGCAAAGGGATGGAAAGCCAGAGAACAGATATAAGGAAGGGCTTAACCAAAGTCAATCAGGATATATCATTTATCAACTGCTGTGTATGAGTAATGCACAAGTCTGAACGGTAAACATTATGGAACAAAGTGTCTATTTAAATCTAAGGGATCTTGTTATAATTAGATCAACAAGCCAATCTGATCCTTAAATAAGCAAGGAATAGATTTGTCCCAGGAGTGACTGGAAGAGGCATGAGTATTGGCTCTGCTCATGTGTAGCAAGGTGAAAGTACAGAATTTGGGTAAAATTTTATAACAACTAAATTATATTTAGCTATATGAATGGCATAAACATGCAAATGTGCTGTTGCTCTATGAAAGTGGCTTTCACCTCCCTTAGATTTTTTTTCTACCATTAACAAATAATTCACAATGGGTATATGCAAAAAGAAAAGACAAGAGTCCCCTATTTAGTTCATGATCTGTTGTGCCGTTAGTTTAAATTTCCAGTTAACTTACTTTTTAAAATTCAATACAAGCATGAATATAAATGCTGTAAGTTCTACTAGCTGCTGATTATTCCTGACTGGCACATTGAAAATATTCAGAGATAGCAATTCAATACTGACAATTGACTGAAATACACTGTTTTGTTGAAAATCAGCCAAGAATCTAGAGGATCGCATCTTAAATGCAACCATAACATTTACATAGTGGCTTTAACATAGCAAAATGTCCCAAGACACTTTACAAAGTGCTGTAAAGAAAAATGTGTCACTGAGTGATGCAAGAAGATATTAGGTGATAAACAAAAACCTGGTTGCCGTGGTAGATATTAAAGAAGTGCCTTCATGGCAGAAACATATAGGAAAGATGTAGAGCTTTGGTCTCTGAGTAGTTGAGGTAGTAGCTGCAAATGGTAGAGTGATTGGAAGTTGGGATTGCACAAGAGGCCAGTATTAGAAAAATATCAAAATCTTGGACTGGGGAGAAAAGTGAGCAAGGCCATGCTATAGCTGGAGAAGGAAGCAGCACAGGCAGTTACACGGATAGTCTCAATCTTTGTAACAAGAAGTTCATGAACTTCTCGGAATTGTGTCCGTAAAGGAGTTTGAGAGAGGCATCCAAGGCAGCACTTTTATTGAAAAGAAGCAAAGAAATACCTCTGCATTCTATAATGCTCCTGGAATAGCGAACAGCTTTGGAAGGATAAAGCTGACTCTGAAAGCACCTTACGTAGTCCAGCCAGATCTGATGATGAATGGTGAACCATATGTCTGCCATGACCATTCCAGTCTTTTTGGCCTTAAGAATGTTAGAATTTGCGGTGGGGGGGTGGTGGGAGAAGATAGGGTGGTTACTGGGGGAACCACCAGGATGAGAGAGAGTAAGGCTTTAACCAAGAATAAGGGAATTAAAAAAAGAGGTAGAAGATTAACTCAACAGACTAGTAGCTGCAGGAATGCTGTGGTGAATGACATGGATGGAGGTAGCCCAAGAATGAAAAGTTTTGAAAGTCACACGTAAATTTTAAACGCTTCTTAAAAAAACAGAAATGGGTTGGGAATTATTCAAAAATGTGGAATTTTATCTGTAAATTTGGGACCTTAACCTTTGGTAATATTCTGCACAATCTGTGTTTAAATATCAAAATACTGACAAGAAAATAATTGGTAGTAGCTGGTAGTTTAAAAAGTATTTTTTGTAATTTTACCTGATCCAGGAGGGCCAATAGGTCCTTGTAGACCTGCAATTCAAAATGACACTGTTAGGGTTTTGAAAATCTGCCACTCTAGTACACTCTTTGATTCCATCCATTTTTATATTGGCACTTTCAATTTCACAAGGAGCTTTGTCTAAATATGGAAGTAATTTCTTTTCACAAAATATAATAGACAGATATCAAGAACACTTTTAGTTTGTTATTCCACATGAAAACATTATACCATTAACACTATCTCCTCCACTTCAGTGAAATAAGAATTGGATGCTGCTGTCATCACCATTGATGCTCATGGTTGCTGCCCCTATTCGCAGCAGCTTTTACTGTTCTGCTTCCACTCTCTTCCTGCTGACGAGAGCTCAAAGGTTGCGAGTGGGGCAGTGAGACAGTTGACTAAAGGAGCAGTGAGTGGGAGGTGATTGAGGTGACAAGTGAGGCATGAAGGGTTATGAGTGGAGCAAAAATTAGTAGGCATCCTAAATGTTGATCACTGCTGCAGGCAACTACCTGTGGTGTTGCTGGCAGTGAAGCCAGTGTGCTGGAACTACAGTTACAATGTGTGTGCGCACTCTGCAGTTGTGCTGTAGCGAATGTAGGTGAACCTTAATCAGCGTGTTAATGTTGAATTACTAACCAGATAATGCAAAATAGGTCACTTGGTGATTTCAGGAGACTAAGTGACCTTTCTAATCCAGGAACACCAGACAATCTCGGGGAAGTTGATGATTAGAATTGAGATAATTTTCTTTCTTTTCAGTAAGAGAAAATATGAACTTGATACAACAATTCAAAACAAGGAATTAACCTTGCTAACTATCTGGGATTTAAATAAAACCAGACCTTTAACCTAATGTGCATAACTTGTTTTTATCGCTGAACTTGTGTGCAGAATGTGTTTGTTCTGCAACAATGCCTGTATTGTTATTACCCCAGTGCTCTGTCTTTGTTAGTGCACAGTGTTGCTTCATATGCTTGATACTGTGTATGCTGTGGGAGTCTCTGGAATCTAATTAATCTGTATCAGACAAACTGTGGTCACGGATTTACTGATGAATTCATATAGTTTGGATATTTTTTTCCTATCTGAAATGCTTTAAAAATCACTGCCAAAGTACAGAATTGGATTATATAATTGAACAAATGTGGAATATAATAGGATCTGAAAACCACCAGCTGATTCCCTAGTTACCCATTTTGAACAATTTAAACCTAAAAATGAGTTTTCTAATTCTTTCCGCTTTTTAAATAATTTGTTAGTCTTTCAAAAATATTCCATAATCAGTTCAAAGAACTAGCACAGACAAGGGGAAGAAAGGTCTCCTTCTCTGCTCCACTATTCTGTCAAATTTCACAGCTTTATTCAAATGTGACTTGACAAGCTCCTGTATAGAAAACAAAGCAGTGTTAATGCATTGATCTGTGTGAAATAGCTCTTTCTAGCTTTAAATCTACATAGTAACCAATAGCAATTTACTGCTGAATTGGGTTTTTAAAGTAAATATTAAAGTAAGTTCTAGTGTTCCATATTCCCCACTAAACACTCAAAATCATCCAGATGAACAAATGTTCTACTGATTATCGTCATCTCTGCATTTAATGGTCTAAATAATGGTCTGCAAAAATAAGCATGATATACAGTTATCAGCGAATTTACAAGACAAATTAAATCCAGTATTTCTGATGTGATCCTAAATAGGTTTAATCTGTTATGTGAATTAAAGCAGATTCCCTAAAATTAAATAACTACATTGAATACATTGGCAAGATCTAATCTTCATAATTTTTTTTATAAAGCCATTATGATAGTGTACATCATCTTTAATAGAAGTTGCATGACGGACTGCAAAGTGTAATAAAGATACAGAATGAATTTCTATAGTCTATAATTCAATTAAAGAATGCAGATGCTGAATTGTAAAACTTAGTGATTTGTGAACAACTAGTCCTCAAAGTGCACATGTCTAATATAACATGGCAGACATTTTTAAAAGGGCATCATATTAACAAATATGCTGTTGTCATATGAAAGCACCATAACACAGGACCTCTAATGTTATTTGTGGTTTGGATCTTTTCAACCTTGGAATAAGCAGCATATCATGAAAGGATCCATAACATGATACAACAGTTGCAGCATGAAAATGCTGTTTAGCCCCTCATCACACTGCCAGCTCTTTGACAGCAACTCAGTAAATCCCTCTACCCCAGTCTTCCCCATTTGCAAATCTTTTCTCTTTAAATGGTGATACAATTCCCTTTTGAAAGCAATGCTTTAAGTTGCCTCCATCATACCCTCAAACCATGCATTTGAGATTCTAACCACTCAAGTTAATATGTTTTTCCTAGGCTTTTTACCTGCAAAATTGGATGTCCACTGATTCTTAATCTTTCTGTTGACGGAAATAGTTTCTTCCCATTTACGCTGTGGAGACTTCTCACTTATCTAATCTCTTCGTCTTCTTTGGGGAGTTCCAAATTGCCAATCTAATTATGAAATAGAATTCCCTCACGCCTGCAAAGGTTCTCCAACTTTTCTTGTATCCTCACCATTATGCTGTCACATTCTTCCTAAAGTGTAGTATTCAGAGTTTAGCACAATATGCCAGCTGAGGCAGATGGAGTATTTTATAAAAGTTCATATAACTTCCTTGCTTTTGTATTCCATGTCTCTATTTATAAAAGCCAGGACCTCCTAGGCATATTAACCACTTTCTAAATCTGTCCTGCTACTGTCAATGATTTGTGCACGTGCACCCCAGCTTACTTTGCTCCTGCACTCCCTCTAAAATCATACCAATCATTTTATATTGCTTTCCTTCACTGTTCCTGCCAACATGCATGACTTCACATTTCTTTCCAATAAATTTCATCTATCACACGCTCTCTCACTCCACCAAGGTATGACCTTTTGAAGTCAATCCATATCCATCTCTCAAAACATTTCCAAGTTTCTCATCTGCAAATTCTGAATTTGCACCCTCCATGCCCAAGATTAGGTCATTAACACGGATCGAGAAAAGCAGTACTGAGGGAAGCTAACTGTATAAATTTTTCCAGCCTGAAAAACAACCGTTTGCCATTAGACTCTGCCACTTGACACTCAACCAGCTTGGTATCTGTTGTGCTGACACTGTCCTTTTTATCCCATTGGGTTTAAAATTTGCTGACCAGTTTGTTATATGCTACTGTATCCAATATCTTTCGGAAGACTACATCAACAGCATTACCACTTCAAGCGTCTGATAGCTCATCAAACAATTCAATCAAATTAGTTAAACATGATTTGCCCTGTGCTGAATTTTCTTAATTAATCCACATTTCTCCAAGTGACAGTAAATCTGTGACAAAATGACTGCTTCTAAAAGCCTTCCTACCACTGAGATTAAACCATTGGTATGTTCCTAGGGTTTAGCCTTGCATTATTTTTGAACAAAGGTGCAAGGCTCCAGTCCTCTGGCACAGCCCCTGTAAGGGAGCATTAGAAGGTTGTGCCCAGTGTCACCTCAGTTTCCACCCCTGCTTCCCTCAGTAACTTCAGATGCCTCTCGACTGTTCTGCTAACTTAGCAACTTAAACTTCAGCCATTTTCTTTCTAATTCCTCCTCGCTAGCCTTTCCTACATCTCAACTATATTCTCTTTCATTATAATTTGGCTGAAGGATACCCACACATCAGTAGTAGGTGATCCAGCTCACTAAATTACCCACTGTGGACAATTGATAGAGCTGCTGGAATGCTGTGTAAGCAAGTAGGGCCCTTCTGGTTGTGGGCTTCTGATCCCTCGCTGGTGGAGGGCCTTCTATTGGATTTCTTTAATTGGACAGAGCTCCCAGAGGTGGAAAATTGATTGGATGCCTCCTCAAACATTGCCCCCAGTGCTGGCATTTGTGGAATCCCAACCCACTCAAGTTTCCTTCCAATGGCAGCATGGAGCTGAAAATGAAAATTCAGCCCCAAGTAACTCATTCATTTCTCTTTCCTCTTGCCCACTGTTCAAAGTGAGATGTTTCATAAGTTTTGAATAGCATACTTAATGTAATTGTTTCTTATAGATCAAATCAAAGTGGTTTTGTGAAGGTCCTAAATTAGTGGATTATCTTTATGTGACTGACAGCAGACTTTATAAGCAGATGCAGTTAATACAATACTAATATGTGGCTTTTGCTCACTTGAATTGATTTAAAGTTCTTTTTTTAATCAAAAATATTTCAGCGATTTATTCTGTTGTTTTGCTTTTAGGTTATCATTATTTCTATAATTAGAATTACACTTTAATATTCCGATTGACCTCAGTTAGTCCTCAACGTCAGAGTATAGCTTTTGTTCCAGGAACAGAAATGTAAGTACTTGAACTGGCATTGACTGCTCACTATAATAGAAGTTCTGAGGTGATATACAAGATGCTAAAAATCCCAAGTGCTCCAATATTAGTGCAATAAAGCTTCTATTGTTAGGAAGGAGAGAAATTTGAGCACATGTACATAAGCAGGGTTGGCTGAATCTAAATCCACATTCTTAACATTTGTTTTCAGAGTGATGAATCACCCCTTTGAATTCAAATCACATTGCATTGTCCTTGTCATGAAACTTGAGAGCTGCAGTTTCTGTACGTAAAACTTGAATCTGTAGGAGTCAGCGGTTGTGGATTCAAATACTACTGCAGGACCAGAACAGAATGTAGGCTGAAAACAGGAATGGCTTTGAGTAGGTAATTGCATTTTTCCAGTCACTAACTTTCAGACAAGATTTAAACCAAGGCCCGCTCTCGCGTTAATGATCCTCTATTACTGCTAAACTGAGTGCCCGAAACTACTCCTTGAACCAAGGAAATGAAAAAAACTGAACATCCTCTGATCGTTTATTCAACTTATTGTTTGAGTACCTTACTGTGTGGAAATTGATGGCATTGTTTAACCACAAAGCAACAGTGGCTACAGTTCAAAAGTAATTAACTGGCTGTAAATCAATTTGGGCATCCTGAGGACATAAGAAGGTGCTATAATGATCCAAGTTCTTTTAATCGGATCATGACATATGGTTGAAATGGAGCTGATTTCAAAACAAATAAACACAAAGTAGCCCTGTTCAGAAAAAAAAACTTTGGAACCTGTTCCAGAGACTCTGCCATATATTTCTACTGATCAGTATAGTTGGACACCCTGTAAATAATGAAACATTCTTTTAATCTTTATAGGCTAAACAGTGGTACTATTCACTGCTTTTAATGGAGACCCAGCTGGTACAGTCAATAGCCAATTTTTTAAATTAAAGTAACAGACCTCAATCTTCTCATTAAAATTATATGAATTTGGTGAGATTGTGACATAGCAGATGTACTGAAATTACAGAACAATTTGCTTCCAGGAAGGACCTATGAATGACAAACAGCTGGCTTTCGCAAGCTTAACTGCAACTTTTTAAAATAAAGTATATGTACCAGAAAACAGTAAACAGCTTGTTTCAGTACACCAGTGTCCTATGTAATAATTTATTTTCAGTTTATAAATATACTTTGTTATAATCAGATTTATTGTAGAAGACCAAGAATTTTTATAAGAAACACAGCAATTAAGCCGAGTCTGCTCAGCCGCAAAATTGGCTGATTTTCTTCCGGATTTCCAAGAGCAAGAAATGCTATTTGTTGGGCCACTATGATCACCTTTGTTGAAACCCTGGGAAAGTTTCAGCTTCCTGACCCATACAGTTCACACTTGGGTATACCTTGAAAAATCTGAGCCATGTGTATTGATACTGAAGAAAGCTGGAAAAAAAATTCTGCACTTTTCCCCTTCCCTGATCATCAACTAGTCAACTTTCCACATCAAGAGCTACCTTTCACTCAGTAATCCATTTTTTCGCTGTTTTCATTTTACTGCAAGGTGCGTTTTAAAATTCACACAAAGATTAATTATTTATTTTGTATGGTGTCATCTCATAGAAGAGCAGAGGTATATTGAAAGCAGAACCAAAGAGGGCAAGTAGACACACATATTTAGATGGGATCTAAGATCCGGTATTTATTTTAAATGAAAATGAAAGACTGAATCTTTAGTTTGGTAGTCAAGCCCGCAAAGGAAATTTCTAAATCTCAGCCTCATAGAAGCACTGTTTTCCACTATTGTTTCTTCAATATCTAAATAGTTAATTAGTAAAGATGTTGGAGACTGAACCACAGTTTTAGAAATTAGTACAACTGTGTAAAAAAAAAAAGGGAATCGTGTGTAGAAAGTAGTTTGATGAATGTGGGAAGCAGGAGGTACCATTAACAGCAGCTTCTTTATACACATTTAACATTGAATAATCTGGAGTTTTCATCAATAAGTGGTGCTGACATACTGTATATTCCTTCCCAATAAAGTACTACTATTTGAATCTGATTAAGCAAGTTGAAACATTTCAGATTCTGAGGTGTTATGAAACATTCCTGAAACAATGTCTTTGAACAGCAAATATTAGAGAACAATTTTTCTGCCAGCAGTTGACAGATGGGGGCAGCATGTTGCAAGGACTGCTTAATATTTGGGGTCATAAGGGGAACCTCAAGATACAGGCCCTTTTACTTTGTGTGAACTGAATTAACACGCACTTGCCAAAAAAAACCTGAATGTTAGATTTTGAATAGATCTGCATTTGTTATAACTGTAAAATTTTTCCATCTTTTGTTATTTATTGGTTGCACGTCATACTAAACATCTGTAGATAGCAAGGTTAGGTCTTAAGTCATCCTTACCTTTGCTACAGCCTGTGTGAAAGCATGTAAAAGAAATGTTTTGAAGTCTGAGTAAGGTTAGTATTTGTGAACATTAATTACTATCTTGCCCATTTGTTTCTTTTATTTAAACCTGAAGGAAAATCTTTGAAGCGTGAGAGGTCACTGCTGGAGGAGTGTATGGGAGTTTCTTTCCTCTTAAGTTAAACTGGTACACACCATGCAGCCTCAGGTTATCATACATGAAATTTAAACACAAATCCAATTAATTTTTACACATATTAAGTTGTTGAAACAGCTGATGCTAACCTAATGGCATCCTTGAAACCACTACTGACTTTTTGAGGGGAGTTGGAGGTCTGTTCAAAGCAATGTATAACACTGAAAGTAGTGCCAGACGGTCAATATAAACATCTCTACTCCCCCAACTGTACATCTAAAATCATCACATGGCTTGAAGTGTTGGAGCAATGTTATCTTACACAGTTCAATTTCTAACAGATTTCAATAATCCTTTTCTTTTTTCCATTTTCTTCCTGCATGCTATATAGAAGTACACAAAGGAATATGTCGTTTGTTCTAACTTATTACCACATTATAAAGTTATGTGCCTGTGCCCTTCAAAGTATTATTTTCTATGAAAAACCATTCAGACAGCATGAACTGAGCTGATGTGGTGTACATGAGCTCAGCCTCTGAGCTGCTAGGCATCATTAATAATCTACAGAATGCTCCATGTGTGGGCAACAAACAGGCATTGTTGGGAAGTTTCAACTCTCCTTGGTGTGTGTTAGTGAGTTGACTATTGTAATTTTATGATAATTGAAATTGCTCTAATTTTGTGTTTATAAGTATTACATGAGATAAATGATACGTGAGGTGGAGGTAGCATTTCTTTGTTCGTGATCCTTTAATTTTGCATCATTATGTCTACCACAGAAATGAGAAAGGTTCCTGTTTCTGTGAAGTAAGTCACAATCCAATATTGAAGTTATTGAGGTCTCCTATTGGTGGTGCATAAAAAGTTCATATAATTAAAATTAAATTTTAACTCAATTTGCAGCACAAAATGTAACCATTTTATGGTAACCCAGGATGACTGTACAATGTGAAATTATTAATTATAGTCTAGCATTCAGTAATGGGATGTTGATGGTTGTACAGTATCTGGATAATTTCAATACTTTTAGGTAAGCAATTAGTAAGCGTTGCACAGAGGGTAATTTTGACCGTTTTAAATGAACTGAAGAATATTTGGATTTCTGTTCTTGGATACTGAAGCTTTTATAACTGGAAAAAGTTTGTTTCCTTCATGAATATTGATGGTTTGACTGAACTCAAGTTACAGAGACCATTTCCATGAGAAAAGGCTAAAAGAAATTTTAAGAGATGGTAAAGATTATTAAAGGTTTTGATGAGGGAGTGAGATTACAGGAAAGACTATTTCCTTTGGTTAGTGAGTTAATGACCTGAGGTAATTAATTTACAATGCTGACAGGGAATGAGAAGTTGGAAGAATTTGTTTACACAGTTTTTAGGATGCACCCCAGGAAGTGGTTGACCATGTGTATCCTTTAAGAGGAAAGTGCATTAATAACTGAATCAGAAAAAGATACAGGAAGACAGCAGAGCTGTAGAAGTTGTTCAGAACTGATCTAGCAAAATGTTGACATAGACAACATTGGCTGAACATGCGGTAGTTGAACTGTAAACTTCAACTTTTCTATCTTGTGTTATATAGGTATGTGAATTTGGCAGTCTAAAGTAATCACAACCATCATGCTCGCTTGCATAATACCATATATAATGATACACAGTGGATTCCTTTCCTTTCTTTTATTTACAAAGTGTTGCTTTGCTTTTAAAATTAAAATTTCAGTCTGTATCTTTGAGCATTCATAAGAAAATAAGTAAGACTGAAAGGAGGTACACTGGCCTGAAAGTCTGCTTTGCCATCCAATAAAATCATGGCTGAGCACCTATCTCGACTCCACTTTCTGGCTCTATTCCCATATTCTTTGAAAACCTAAAGTTATACTCAAAAGACAAAGCATCCCTGGTCCTCTGGGCTACAAAATTCCAAAGGTTCAGGATTATCTGAAGAAGAAATGTCTCAACTCAGTCCTAAATGCCTGACCTTTCTCCTGAAACTATTACTTATCTTTCTTTTGTAGAGAAACTAAATCTCTTCCACTCGCCTCAAGTCCCAACCTCAGCCAAGTTTAAAGGAAGTAATGATTTTGTTTCAGAACCGGATCCTTGTAACTTGCTGTAAAGGTAGTCATCCAATTACTGGATTCAGCTGATGATTAAACAAACTGAATTTCACCTTTGCAGTTTATGAAGCTGTCTAAACCCTTTTCTTTGGATTACTGCTCCACAGTAGATGTATAGAATAAATGGTGTGTATAATGGGTAATTGTCTCTATGCTTTTTCACTATTGTACAGACTTATTTCATAATGTTAGTATGAATATCGGGTTATGATTAGGAATTTTGAAGAAATCCTATAAGTTTGACCTAGCTATTTTACATCCGATTTGTAAAACTGTAGTGAAGGTACAGCATTGTTGATGCTTACCATCTAATGCCCGATTTCCGATGCCTGTTATTCTTGTATGGCACTCATTGACTGAATCTCTCAGAGCAGTGATGTCTTGATTGTGTACCATGAGGGTTAAATTCATGCGGTCTAAGTAATTCCACAAATCACCAGCATGATTATCCAAACCATCCTTAATATAATCCAGACTGTTTAATACTGCACTTAGTTTGTTGCACACACTCTCCATCTGAGCCACTCGTCTGTCAACCTGTGACACTTCCTTCTGGATATCTTGAGCGTTGTGTTTGCAGTTATGGAGATCTGACATTATCCGATGGTTAATTCGTTCCAGATCACCTTTGAGCTCATGGACTCGCTTGTCATTAAAAAGGAGCTGAGAACCTTGGCTGTTCACTATCTGTTGGATCAGGTGGACTTCATCTGTCATTTTGCGCTCGTGTTCATCCCACGTTGAATTGGCAAACGCAAAGTCATCAGCATATTTGCTGACAGAGTCTTTGATCCCTTTTAGGGTCTTGTTCACGGAGTTGATGTTGATCTTTAGTAAAGTAATTTCTCCCTGCACGGCACTGGATTCTTCTTCCTCTTTAATTTTTCTGTTTATTTCAAACATAGAGTAGTTAAGTTTGTTAAGTAGACCAGAGTTCTTATCTAGTTTTGTCACAATATCTTGGCAGTTTCTGTGGCAATCATCAATTTCTGTTCTTAGAGTTTCAATGTCACTAATAATTGAGGTACAACTAACAGGACACAGATTCTCCAAAACTTCTAGTCTTCCTTCCAAATCAACCAGGCCATCATTAGTTTTCTTCTTAATTGTTGAAATCTCTGTTTCTAGCCTTGGGATTACTTCTCCTTCTAGGCTGGCAGGAATAGATACATTGCTCAACTCCTCAACAATAACAGTAACTCGGCCTTCAACGTCCTTTAGTTTATCATGTAGGAATGTCTTCATACCGTCCAGCTCAGTTCCAAGATGTCCCTTCATGTTGTTTTCTATGAACAGACAATTTTCTTCCAGTCTCCTCTCTGTGGCATTGATTTTGGCTTCAATGTCATCTAGCCTACTGTTGTACTCATTTTCGAAATGAATACTAGGGAATTGCGGCAACTCACTCTCAAACCGAGTTGTTAATGATCTTTGATAGTCTGAGATTTCTTTTAGGTTCCGTTCCAGGGCATTGATTTTATCTGACAAGTACTTGACTTTGTCACAGCAATTTTCAGTTACAGTCAATCCACCAATCTGAGTTTGTAAGTTATTAATCTCCTTTTTTAGGTCAGATTCTTTTCCACTAATCATTCCTTCAAGGCGTTGATTTATGTTCTTCTGTTCATCACACTGTTGTTGGATTAAGTTTACTTTGTAATCACAGACAGTTTGCAAGACATTGAATCTGTTTTCAAATCCATCAAGTAGGTCAGCTCGGAACTTGGTGAGCCTGTCATCTATAAAGCTGTTGAGAAAATCCCCAGTTGCCGTAGGTGTAGGTGGTCTACTGGCCTCCAGAAGTTGGCTGATTTGGCGATCATGACGAATCACCATCCCATAAACGTCATGCAGCAAGTCACTGTTTGTTTTCAAGACATCCTTATCCTCTGGGATCTTGCCTTCCAAGTCTCCCATCGCTGGTGGGTGTCCTTTACTCAGATTTTTCAGGCTTTCAGTTATGCATGCAAAGTCTTTATCAGGACATTTTAGATTATTCAGCCATGATACAATCATTTTATTGGTGTCTTTCTGAATGGATTGTCTGAGACTGTCACTGATCCCACTCACCATGGATTGGAGTCTCTCAAACGATAGTGTAAAATGTCGCATTTCATCTTCCAAATGATCGATTCGTTCTCCGTAGACATCTGGAGCCTTGGGACCTAGGAGGCATAAATATTCTCAGATTAGTGGATTTTACAATTTAAATCTAAATTGAACTAAACTGAATAACTAATTAAATTGAATAACTTTACCACTATTTAGTATTCAGTCTTAGTGAAGCCATTAAGCTATGGAATTATAAGCCACGTTCCATAAAAGTTAGCTGTCTAGATCAATCTGAGCAAATTAGTTACAGCATAATATTGCACATATCATTGTGATTTCTCATGGTGTTATGCAGAAGGGATCTGGACAACAGATGAATTGCTAACTTGTCATATTCCTCTAAGGCCTCTGTTAACCCAAGAAGGCACATAGGTATCACCTGAAGTGAATCAATTACTCTTAGTTACAAAAGGTTTTTGGATTGCTGGGCGATTAGCATTTATCCCTGAGTCAGAAACTAAAGTCCTTTCCACCCTCTCGCTGGCCATAAAAAATACTTAAGTTACTTTTAGAAGAGCTTTCGAAAACACGATATGCGTAATTGATGAAGGGAGGGTTTATGATACAGTGATAGCCTTCCTATCTAGAAGCTCCAGGTCAAGTTCCACTCTAGGTCTTGATGAGCATGGAAGAATTGTTCATAAATGTGGCCAAAAAGGTTGAATACCATTCTACATTTACTACCAAAACACCTGATACCACACGGGAGGAAGGAGAAAGCCTCCTGTTGAAGGCAACTGCAAGCCACTCATGTACTGGACCAAGCATAAATCATAGACCAACCCAATCCATCGTCACCAACCACCATTTAGGCACGCTGCCTGGAGAGAGGTTTCCAAGAAAGGGCAGTAAATGAGGTTGGACCTTCTCAAATAATATAGAAAAACATCTGTTTTACGTAACTGCTTTAGGAACAACCCAAGAGCCGATTATAACATTTTAACCTGATCGTAGAGATTATCCTACATATCCTAAACATATCAGCAGATATTAGAACTTTTTGCTCTCTTTATTTGTTTGGACATGGAAATTAAATCATGGAGTCAGGTGACCTGACAATGTAATCAACATTCAACATAGAACGGTATAGCACAAGAATAGGCCTACCACGTCTGTGATGACCATAATGCCATTCTAAACTATTTCCATCTGTTTGTATATGGTCAGTATTCATCTATTCCCAGTCTATTCATATGTCTGTCTAAATCTCTCAAATGTTGCCAACTTATCTGCTTCTACCACTCCTTTGGCAGTGCATTCCAGGCACCTACCACCCACTGTGTAAAAAATGTACCTCACACATCTCCATTAAACCTTTCTCTCTTTCACCTTAAATCTATGCCCCTTAGCATTTGATGTTTCAAATCTGGGGAAAAAAAGACTCCCACTATCTACCCTATTCATGCCTCTCAAAATTTTATATACTTCTATCAGGTTGCCCCTTATCCCCTAACACTAGCAAAAACAAAACCTCGCCAATCCAGTTGATGTACACCAATCCAGGCCACATCCTGGAAAAAGTGTTTTGTACCTTCTCCAAAGCCTCCACACTCCTTCCTGTAGTGTAGTAACCAGAACTTCACAATTGTAAAAAATCATGTTATTGCAGGGCAGATCCTTTCACAAATGAATTTATACATATGGCCTTCATAGCAATGAATACTTTATGATTTGAACTTTTTGAATAGTTGTGAGCATTGTTTAATGCTTTAGAATTTGCGAGTGCCCAACATTACCCTATCAAATTAAGAATATTTTCCTATTAAACAATACAGCTCTTAAAAAAAGGGAAATGGGTGAAATTACTTGGGTTATAGTGTGAAATCTGAGAGTGCACTGGCAGACTGTTTCAGATGCTACACGTTTATTTTTCTAAATCATTGGAAATTAAATGTGGGAAATGGCCTATCGTATGAGACTGCTCAAAGCTCGGGGCTATCCTTTTACTCTTCATTATTACTTCCTAAATGCACTGAAGTGTTGCATATCAATGATCAAATACAGTGACATTGTTTTTTCCTCTACTGCTATTTATTCAGGGGAAGATGCCAAACCTTAAACATTGGATTGTACATCTATTCTTTATTAATGGTTCATCCAACAAAATCAGAATTGCCTATGCTTTTGTCAAGCAGAATTTCCGCATCATAGCTTCGAACTTACTTAAAATTTGCACAAAAACAACAGCTAAGTCTGGCATAAAGCTGACCAAATTAGCAAAACCTCCATTGCTCATGAATGCTGTTCCCACTTATCAGGCAAAAGATGGAAGAATCCAAATTTCCTTATAAATGCCCCATTCAAACAGGCTGTAAATTTACACTGGAAAGTTTAAGAGGAGTAGGGTTTAAAATAATCTTTGTTTTATTTACACTTTGAAAAGTCAGTTTGGATCTTTCTCCTAAGAAAGACCTAACAGCCATGAGAAAAAGTTGCATGAAAACTGAAGTGTATTCATTTATATACTCTTAAAAATATTAATTAATGACCCTAATGTTTTTAAAGGGTAGTTTGATGTGCATGAGCTTTAACTTTCATGCATAAGTAAGGGCATAGAGAATGCAGTATTACACATTGGGCCTTCAATTCAAACCCCAAATAATGCTTTTTAAAGACAAAATCCAGTGTATTCTAAATGAGATTCTTGGGGAATTTCACAAGTGTTTTAACATAGCAACACCATTGTAAGAAATTCTAGACTAATACTTAAATGTTTCCCATTCATTTGAACTGTTCTCATGTTACGGACACTAGCTTTTCAGAACCTCGGGTTCTAATTCAGGATTTACCTCTCATTGAGGAAACAGCACCAAAGAAAGAACTTTTCAAATAACTCAGATATATAAAAGGAAAAATGAAATGATCTCGGCTGGGTTATAAGTGGTTGAGTTTGGCCATTTCTGAATTAAATCTCAGTTGGTTGTCTTGTTTTATGTTTATTCCAAATTAACAAAAAATGTATTATTGACAGTCAAAAAAGATAAGATTACTCTGGCATCTTAAAATGTAACTAGCTTCAGGACCAAAAGATATGTAAAGCAATATTATGTACCTCCAAAAAACATAGACAAAAGTTCCTGAATGAAATTAAAACTTACCATAATAACCTTTTCTGGGTCCAGGGTGTGATGGCACAAGTTCAGGCAGTCCTGTAGCACCTTCCCGGCAAGTATCACCAGAATATCCTGGACAACATCTCCACTCTAATTCTGTAACAGTCTTGTATCCTATTTTGTATTTGGGTTTGTAAAATGTTCGATACCTGTATGGAGAGAGGATTATTTTTGATCAATAAACAGTTATTTACAATCTGAAGATTTAAAAAGTTAATATTTGACATTTTTAAATATAGCAGTAATAAATAATTGTTTAACAAAGATGAAAATGGTGTGAAACATACATTTGTCCTGATTTTCCAATTTAGTCAGTTATTGTTTACTTTGAACTTTTACCCCAGTACAAATTGGCTCAGGAAAGGCTGTAGGTATACAAATTTTCAGTGGTTTAGTTTTATTTGAGAACCTAGTCATAAGACAGTAAAGATTAAAATACTACGATGTATTTTGCATGACAGTCTTGAATGAAACAATGTGACATCTGTGCTGAAAGCTATTCCTGACATCAAATTCACTTAATGAAAAATGTAATCTATCAGTCTACTATCCTGAATAATGTACAGGTAGAACTCATTATTAGAATGAATCACCCTTTCTGCTACTCTTTAAGCTGCTACTTTGATGCTTTTGCATTTTTCCTTTTACAGTATACAATATTTGTCTCCTGTAACAGAACATTTTTGTTGCTGATATTTGGAGGGAGTGACTAGCTGATCGCTTACACGTGCAAAAGTATCTCGGATCCAAGCATACCTAAGCAACTTTGAACATAGTTCCGTGTTTTCAAATATCTTTATTATAACTCAATTAAATGACAGTTGGCAAGTAGATCTCAGTATTTGATTGAGGCTCAAAGTCAGACTTGTTATTCAGCTCTCTCAAACAACTAAAAATAGCCCAATGAATGAAACAATATGTTTTTCATTAACTTTGTTAGCAAGAGAACACACAAAGAGAACAAATGTGAGCTGGCTTATGTTGCACAACGGCTTGCACCTGACTTTCCATATCTCTCCTAATTGAATATCTTCAATTCATGTTTATTCAAATTGATGGGTTTTAACCTTCTTAATCTAGCGTGTAGACTCATACTAACATTTTGTTAAATTTGTATAATGCACATTTGCACGTAACATTGTTCATAATACAATTGATCTGTCACTTCTTTTGGCAATCATTTCAATTCAATCATAATTGACAAAGATACGGAGTTGTTTTTTTCCCCAACAGCAAGGAATTTAACGACTAATTGTTGCTGTGAGACAGTTACAAGATGTGCTTATATAGTACTCTGCATAATGACGGTTTCTGATAGTGAGACTTTGGATTGAAAAATGGTGGTTGAACTTGTTGGTGCTTTAAAGCTAAGGCAATCTTGCCTTCTGTACAACTATATAATTTTTACATTACTAAACTTACCACCCATCCTCAAGCAGTTTTACAATCCAAATTTCACATTTTAATTTCCAATGACAGCAATACATAAGATAGAATTGGTATTTGTGTAATGCTTGTCATATCCTCAGTACATTGCAATGTACAACTAATTAATTAATTTTGAAGTGCAATCTTACTCAATTCAGCTGGCATAGTCACTAAACTTATTTCACATAATGGTGTGCTGCTTATCTTCAAATAGCATTCTGGGACCATTTGAATCTGAGCATCCAGACCAAACAATCCTTTAATTCAGCATCTTCTTGACACTGCAGTGAATGAACAGTTTAATTTCAAATGAACCTGAGATAACACAGTGTGGAGCTGGAGGAACACAGCAAGTCAGGCACCATCAGAGGAGCAGGAAAGCTGTCGTTTCGGGTCTGGACGCTTCTTCAGAAATACAGCTGATGATTTTTCTTCTCTGAATTAAGTATTTAAAGTGAATTGATCCATGGATCAATAGGTAATTTAATGGTAAAATCTTTGGGAAGATTTGTTCACCATAATTTAGGGTGACGTGGGGGCTCAGTGGTTAGCACTGCTGCCTCACAGCGCCAGGGATCCGGGTTTCATTTCAGCCTTGGGTGACTGACGGTGTGGAGTTTCCATGTTCTCTCTGTGTCTGTGTGGGTTTCCTCTGGGTGCTCCAGTTTCCTCCCACAGTCCAAAGACGTGCACGTCAGATGGACTGATCATGCTAAATTGCCCAGTAGTGTCCAGGGTTGTGCAGGCTAGGTGGATTAGCCATGGGAAATGTGGAATCAGGTGGGGATTGGGTCTAGGTAGGATGCTCTTTAGAGGGTCAGTATGGCCTGTATCTACACTGCAGGTATTCTATTCTATGATTCTTAATTATGGAAAAAAGTCAATGGTTATTTTGGATGCCCTGGTTTTGATGCTGGAGTTCAAAGTGAAATTTCTTGGAAAGTTACCAACAATTCTAATGGTGTGATCACTATTCTCTCAGATTGTTATTTCTTTGAAGCCAAACTGGAATCCTAATACAGTCTTATTGCTATGACAATCTGAAACTCCAAGTCAACTAGTAGTTTTAATAAGAGTCAACAAAATCAGACATACCCAATTCAATTTGATGTCCTTTTCCAAGCAGCTGTCTATGCTTAACAGATGTAGTGAAGAATATTATTATTATAATATTTCATGGCTGCTTATCAGTCAGAGAAGTCTGCTTTAGCTATTTTAACATTCTAATTTTATACTTTCTCAGCTAACTCCTGTTTATAGAACACTTCACGCAATAAGATTGGTGTACTAACCAACTATCAGTACCATGACAAGGAAGAAATGTCCAAATGTGACTACCTGACTATATATCCAAGGATCTTCCCTTTATCTAGAGAACATATACTTCTCACTAGTTTAGACGTGAAAATATTCCACCCTCCTTTAAATCAGACATAAAAATGTTTAACTTCATGGAATACATAAATGTCATCAGCAAACAACAATGCAAGGAACACACCAAACACTTCTTTAGCTACTAGTTACTGTGTTTATTGGAATATGAGCTGAAAAGTGGCCATCAGAATAACTGCACTTAGTATGACCGATACTCATTGATGCTAATACTGCAAACAATAAATTGTAACAATACCATAAGGAACAGTTATGTAATAAGCAAGCCTCCCTGGTAGCTATCAATACAGGAAACCATAAGCCACTATAATTTTGATTTACATTGATGCTAAGGTAGACACGATTGTTTATATAATCTGGGATATGAAATTACTCCTATTAAGATATATGTTACTACACTGCTGACAGCATCTGACATAACAAATTATTTGTTTTCTTTACAGTTTAAGTAGTTAAAAAACCGTTGAACTAGAAAACACATTGTGTAAATTTCTGCTACAGCAGACGTAACATCTGCAGCATAACTTGCACTAGTAGCTAACCTGCATTTCAACAGCAGCTGCCCTTCATTCTTTGGGGTGTGTGGTAGCATCTGCTCAGTTTTTGGAAGAAGCTATGCTAGTAATAGAACCTGGCCAATATGAAACATCTTCCCGAACACGCCTTTGTTTCTAATATTCTGCATATCATTCACTGGTTACATTAATACCTGGCTGATCATCAACTGCTGCGCTGTTAGTGCCAGTCTATGTTTGCCAGCATATGCACTATCCTTGCCTTTCAGTTAAAAGCTGTCTCATTGGAAAGCCACCCTTATGACAATGATGCCACCCTACCGCTGTCCTTACTATTTGACAGATATGCCTGTTTAGGTAACAACGTCCTCTTGTACTAGACAAGCAAATGATTGAATCCTATAATATGGAAACAGGCCAAACAACCCAACATGTCTAGCTATTTCTTTAAAGTCATCATAGTCATTCCGCTTTTATCCATAGCTTTGAACTTTTGTTTTACTCTTAAATATAAGGTCCAATTCCCTTGTAAATTGTATACCATTTGCAGCACCCTTTCAGGCTGTGCATTCCAAATGTAACAAAAAAGCTGTTTTTTTTTCATAATTACCCCTCTAATTCTTGCCAATGATCTTAAATCTGTGTGCTTCTGGTTACTGGTCTACTCACCAGTTGGAAACATCTCTTGATTTCATGAAAATCCTTCACAATTTTTGAATATTTTAAAGAAAAACTCCAGTTAACCTCCTACCTGTAAAGTGATCAAATCGTTTTTCCAGTCTCCCTTTGGCGTATCCAACAAAGCTAACGCAATTAGAAAACTCCACCTTCCTCCATCAAAAGATTGTTTTGACTGTACTGTAGTGGATTAAATGTGCCAGGGAACATGATTTACTCCTTCAAGTTCAGTCTTAAGTGGGAGTCTTTGTTCAATGCGACCTCTATCACGAACTGAATGTAATGACATTTAAATGGGTAATTGTGGTGCTAAATCATATCAATGTCATTAAAGCCGTCAAAGGTATTTTCCGATGAAAAATACCTGGCATTTTCTGACACTGGGTGTTGGAGTTGAGGACGTGCGGCGGTCCTTTACTGACCAGCAGATGGCAGAACTGCGCCACTGCTCAAAGTTTCCTTTCCCTCAGCAGTGCAGTTCCTCAGAATCTTATTTCATTTTGTTTTGTCAATTTAGGGCAACTGTCTCAAATTGTTATATCAACGTACGCAAACAATCCCGCTTTTTAAAATAGTCGAGTGTATTAATTTTCACAGGATGCGAACACACTCAGTAGTATTAAGCCAGGAACATTCAACCATCAAGTTTTAATCAGCTCAGAGCATTCGGCGCAATCCTCCATTGAATGTTGCACAAAAGCAGTCATTTAAAGCTGGTATTCTTTTGTGCACGTGAAGCGACCTAGGTTTATTTTGAAACCATGAAAAATCACTTGTGGTTTTGTTTAAAGGCGACGCGCAATTGGAAAAAAGTCACACAGTCTCCAACTTAAAATGATTTGTCCCAGATTGAAACCTTCCCCCCCCACCCCGAGCCGATGGATTGGGGGTCCCGTACAAAAAAAAAATAAATCTGGATAGCGCATTTTACTGCGATAAGGTATTTTTAAAAAATGTCTACAGCGTTCGCAGGCACCTCTAGACTGGGAACAAATATACAGATACCATGAGCTGTAATTGCAAATTAGCAGCCCATTTCCTCTCGGACGCCTCCTGTGTTACTGATGTGGTGTTGGCGCACAGTTTGGAGGTTTTGAAGACTTACATGACCACTCCTGGACACTTCAGCTGGCCCCAAGCACACTGGCGGTACTCAGCTTTCACATAGGTATCTGTCCCGTCCTGCATTGTGCAAGTGACATTTTTCTTCACGATATAAGCACAATAGTTCCTGCAGTTAAAAAAAAACAAACCAAATTTACTTTTGTTCCCTCTGTCTCAGTAACTGCAGCAATTTACAGCAGCAACACTTGATGCCAGTTCTCCTCCCCACCTCGCAGAAATGAAACTTTGAACAAAGGCACGGATTGATAACTGAACGAGGTTTTCTTGTGAAAAATAAAGCACGTGCAATTTTCCATGATGCATCAAATGTGCTCTTTCTAAATCGATCAGGAGATAGAGCATGTAAGTATGGTTTGAGAAGGTGGAAATAAATCAGAAGTGCACATTGCTGCCCGTCGCGTTTGGCGTGCAAATAAAGAAAAGCAACATTATGCATAAAAATTACATAAATATGTGGAAGCTTCGCACTGCAGGCGGTTTGAAGAATTACTGACTTGAGCAAAGCTGAAAAAGGGACTCACTTGTGCCGGCCGGAGACTCGTCCCGCTCCTTTCAGGCTGGGGCTAGACCCTGAGGTGAAAAGGTTATATCGGTAAGGGGCGTAGAAGCTGCCCTTGGCATCGATCAGAGCGAGGAGGATAGTGGTCAGCAGCAGACAAGGTAGGATTACTGGGCCAGAGCCCGCCGTGTTCTCCAGCATAGTGAGAGCTTCACTGGGGGCAATCTGGAAGTTACTGCCTCTTCACTCACACCCCACACACGGGGCGGGGGGGAGGTGGGGGTTGTGGAGGTGAAGAAGAAGATGCAAGATTGCGGAATTCACTGCCAAAGTTGAGTGGTCCGGTTCAGAGTTCACAAGTGTCACTGGGGCCAGCGTTAAGGAGAGAGTGCAGAGGGTGGGAGGGGGGTGTGGGGAGGTGGGGAGAGAGAGAAGGGTGTGCAGGGAGAGTCCTGGTTTTCAGAGACGACAGGTCAGCAACTCAGATCTGAGATGGTGCAGGCTGCTGGTTGGGGAGGCGAGCGATGAGCCACACGCTTCCAGCTCTCTATGTTGTCAGCGCTGATCGCGTCTACCTCCACTTCCAAGAAGGAGCGGACCCGTGCAAAAGTGGGCGTTTCGTTAATATTTAGTTCAACAGCAACCCCCCCCCCCCCCCCCCCCTCCTATCCTCACAGCGCTGCCAATGAGGGAGCAGTCATTCTGCCTTCCTCCCTCCTTCTCCAAGATACACCGAGCCCCTCAGTGACGAGTAGCCCTCACTACCGTGATGGGGCACGAGCCAAACTTCTGATCCCTTCGAAATGACAGACTCATTTCAAGCACAGATATTCCCCGGTCTTAGAGCCGAGTCTTCTCCCCAGTCCTTCTGCAGCAGGCTCACAGCGCCCTCCTCTCTGTACCTTCCCGTTTAATTGCAGATTATTAAAGGGAGAGAAACCGCAGGCGAACAAATTTGCAGAAATATAATCCAACTCGAAGGGGGAGGGGGGGAAGAGTTAAGAATAAAAGGTTTCGACAAATTAAACAGTCTGCTCACTGAGTAGGCATGTTTTTATTTATTTGATGCTGGAGATTGGGTTCTTAGGCGGCAGATATTTCTGGGCTAGAGAGTGAGAAAGAAGATGGAAGGTGATTTTGTATTTCTAAACACCACCTCACACCACTGGATTATCTAATAACATGCCAGGCAAGAGGAGAGAGTGAAAGGACATTACCACAATGTGGGGCAGGTTAGACCGCAGGGGTCACCACAGTGCACAACTCCTGGTCCCAGTTTAATTAGACAGGTTAGTCAGACTAAATTTTTTTAAAAAAGCGAAATAACTTGCGGATGCTGGAAATCAGAAACAAAAACAGAAATTGCTGGAAAAGCTCAGCGGGGTTTGGCAGCATTTGTAGAGTGAAATCAGAGTTAACGTTTCAGGTTCCAGTCACCCCTTCCTCAGTTAAACAGGTCACTCACTGTCCGCAGTGCGCACTACAACCGCAGTTTGGCTCCTTGGGTGGGGGGTTCGGAGGAAATAATTACCAAGGCTTTAATGTGGAGGGAAAGCTGAAGTTTGGAAGGAATACTGTTAACCAGTAAGCGAGGAATGATTGGAACGCAATGTGTCAGTCAGAAATTGTTCAGATTGTGAGATCTCTCCTTATTGCAACCTGAAAGCTCGGAGAATCACTGCCCTAATGTTTGCTGACAATTCATTCGGAAGCACGTAGAAATATTATACCGTCTCAGACAGGGAGAGGGTACCCAGATATTCATAATACTCCATCGCCACTCGGGGATGCTGCGTTCTCTAATGCAGTACAGACAGGACTCTGAGTCCCTGACCCCGAGCTATTCGACCGGGAACTGTTTCGCACACACCTCCTGGCTTGCGTGGTCGTACTGACATTTGAGTATCGCGCTGGTCGGTGATGAATAAATCGGAGCCAAACTATTTAAGTTACAGAGGCTAGGCGGTTATAAAGGCACCTCTCTGAGCGTTAAACCAGTGCTATTGAATTAGAAATCAAACACACACACACACAGTATAGTGTTCAGAACTGTCACTGGACCCGAAACGTTAACTCGGTCTTCTCTCCACAGCTGTCGCCGGACCTGCTGAGTTTCGCCAGCCATTTCTGTTCAAATGACGCAGACACTGCCAGACTGATGGAAATCCTTTGTCAGGTCGGCTCATTTCCACCAATATTAAAGAACTGTTACGCCGTGCAATCTCATTGCAAACATTACAGGCCAATTTTTTGTTTTCTCTAGTAACAATCATCTCTCATCTTCTTCTAGAATGTGCCATTGCAAAGACGTTCTGCGAAGAGTTGCAGATTTTTTATTTGGTTGAGGTTAATCTCCAGCAGACAAACAGGAGGCTGGAAGAACACAGCAAGCCAAGCAGCATCTGGAGGAAAGGAAAAGTCAACATTTCAGATATTACCCTTCTTCTGGACTCCTGATAATAATCGAGATCTCACAACAGTAATTATAGTATAGTGTAAAACATACAACATAAAATTGAAAGTTACGCATTGCAGACCTTCATAGTTTTAAGTATCAACTGCTGATGGAAGACCATCAGCTCAGTGAAAGGTGGTCAGGCACTATCCTCGACCAAATCATAGAATCCCTACAGTGTGGAAATAGGCCCTTCAGCCCAACAAGTCCACACTAACCCTCACAGCATCCCACCCAGACCCATCCCCATCTCGCTATAACTCACCTAATCTACACATTCTTGAACACTATGGGCAATTTAGCATGGCCAATTCACCTAGCTTGCACACCTTTGGACTGTAGGAGGAAACCCACACAGACACAGGAAGAACATGCAAACTCCACACAGACAATTGCCCGAGGTTGGAATTGAACCCGGGTTCCTGGCGTGGTGAGGCAGCAGTGCTAATCACCATGCTGCCCACTGGCAAGGTTCAGTATCAGGACCATGTGCTGAGAGATGCAGCCACCATAAAAATTCAGTAGCACTGTCAGAGGCTCCCACTCTAGGACATTCATGGGCAAAACTCATATAACAGCCCACTCAGGCTTTATGTGTGACATGCAAGGTATGGAATTAATATACCTTCGGTTGTAAGTGTGGTAAGGCATCTCAGAACACTTATATATTCAAAGAAGTGGAGTCAAATTTGAAATCTTGTCAATTCTTTTACAAAATTTATTATAACAGTATTTTTTGGGAAAAAGATCTCTATTGAAGATTCAGTTTTCAAAGAGGTGTTAATTTATCCTTCAGATGAAATTAAATCTTTATGAGGATATAGGTGTCACTGGCAATGACAGCATTTTTTGTCAATCCCTGAGTATTCCTCAGAAGGTGGTGGTGATTTGCCTTCTGACCACTGAAGTCCTGTATCATGCTTCCACAGTGCTGGTAGATAGGGAGTTCCAGGAAATCAACCAGATTATAGAAGGAGTTTTGATACATATCTAAGCCAGGAAGATGTGGGACTTGAGGGAATCCTGAAGGTGATGGTGTTCCCATCAGTGACAATAAATGATATTCTATATTCTACTCTATGTCCTTTGAGCTGGTAGAGCTGCAGGTTTGAGACGTGCTGTCAAAGAAATAAAACCATGATACCATTTAGATGAAGGGATGTTTGGCCAAAAGGTACATTCAATGGGATCTTTTATTAAATGCTGATGTAACTCCATTCTTGAAATTTGCATTCTTCTGGTGATGCATGTGACCAAGCATTAAAGATATCATTTCCTTGGAAATTTGTAATAACATGAAAGTTAATGAAACAAACCTTGAGCTTCTAAGGAAGGAAGAAATTTCAGGGTTATTTAGTAGATAGCACTCTATTCAGAATGCCAATCATGTAAACAAAGCACATTAGGTTTCACTACTCACACTCGTGAAACTGTTTGAAATGTGCCAGCTTTGTCTCTGTAATCATCAGCTGCAACTCTTTTTTTGATTATCAGCACATCATGATCAAACCTCATCCTGTACATGTGCATGCCATATACAAACTTTTAATGAGGGAGTAGTCAACATGGTTAATCACCTGAAATTTCCGGAGGTGGGAAGGACAAATGAGCATAGACTGGACTATCCCAAAAATCAAAAGGGCTTTAGGGCAGTGGACATGTTCTGAAATGAAAAATAATCAATAACTCATGGGAGTCATGTTTCACGGTTGGTGTTTAAGGCTGTGGTTATACTCTAGCTACCGAGCTTACAGCTGGCAGCTGTGAATTTATATTGTCTGGCTGTGAATCTAACTCCTCTGGCCAAGAGGGAGCTCAGCGTTTGTGGTTCTACACACACAAGCAGAGCTCTGCTGCTAGTTGACACATTTAAAAAATTGGAAATGTGAGAACATGAGATAATTTTCCTGAAGGGGTCTTGCACTGCCCAATTTGTAACCAGCTTAGGGTTAGGTCCTTAGTTGTTTTCTGACTTCTGTATTACAATGAAGGTTTCAGTGAAAATGTACACTGACAGTGCTAAATATTATTGCTGAGCTTTTCTTCTCTAAAAATCAATGTCCAGAGTTGATTTATATTCAGAAGGCCAACGTGCATTCCTCTGAGAAAGTGCCAAATGCAGTTATTACAGATGTGCAATAAAGGTTCATCAAATTCTTTACAACTGCTAGATTTACATAGCCTAAACCAGATGGCCAATTTGTGATTTAAATTAATGTGCATCAAACTGACAGCAGCATAACTCCTGCAATCACTGAGAATGCAAGAGCCAAAGAATACACTTGCACAGGAATTTGCTGTTTCTGACGTAGATTGAGATTGAACTGCTGTATGAAGGTCGATGTGTGTCAAAACTTTCTGATCACAGTGCTTCGTTTGCATTTCCACAGATGCAAGGACAAGAAACTCTGGAAATTAGCTGTGATAAAGCAACATATACAGAGGCTAATGGTCAAACAATTATCCCCACTGGTAATTATTACCCCTTGGTGGGCCAAGCTAAAATCAACCTTCTTTTCTCATATTTCTTCTTCAGATAAATAAAGCCTCTCATTCCTGTTATCATTTCTGTGAATGTGTTCCATACTCTTCTCCATCAACTTAGACCACATCCCTCCACCCTAAAAGAATTGGCTACAGTCCATAAGTAAAACAAGATTGTGTGTTTTTTCTTTCCTTGTTAGTTTTCTTTCTTCTTAAAGTATTGACAAGTACTGATTCACAGGTAACTTCTGGTACCCTGTCCAAAGTGTGAGCACAGCCAGTGTGTATATTCAGGTCATTTGTAAAACTATTCAATTTGTTTCTCACCAAGCAATGTTCCAGCAGGGCACTGCAGGATAGTGTTTGCAAATCTTGCTGCTTTTCACCTCTTTAAATTGGAGCTGCTGTGATCAGTTATAACGCCCAGGTGAGATCAAATAACTTCCTGGACATACTTTGTCAATATAGCTTACTAACTTGTTGACTAAGCCATCAGGAAGCATTTGTTTAACTCCTTTGAAATTTTATACTTTTGACTCCTTCCCCTAC